TATCAGCAGGTGTCACAGATAAGGGCCCTGGCTGCTATTTCACCTTAGAAACTCTATAAATAAATCTGCTTTTTTACCCTGACTTGGTTTATATATTAGTTACAATGAAGAACTATTGTAATAGTTTTATGTTTGAAGAAAATATTTTTAAACTCTGTTCTAGTCTTGTGCTACGAAGTTGTTTTATAAACACTCAATTTAATAGAAGTTTTATTGTAGGAGTGTGATGAAAAGTACAGTAGACTTTACTTTAACTTGTGCCATTATGCACCATTAACTGAGCAGCATTTTGTCTCTTTAAATAAATCATAAAGCAAAGATATTTAGATAATTTCATGAACCCCTTTTGTAACAGATCCTTAGAGAAAAAGGCAATCTTAGAGCTGTTTCATACAGTTAAGAGTTTGCTTTGTTTTAACTTTAGAATTGATTTCCTTTCTCCTATTATTATTTGCAAAGAAGGATCTTTTACAAAAAACACACAGTAAATAACAGTAATTTTTATCCTTATATAAATATTGTTCCAGTTGTCTTCATGTCTTAATCAAACTGTGTGAAATGTGTGAGCAACACAACAATTAAGAGTTTTCTAAAGCAACCAGACATCTTAAAATATTACAAAAGGTTTATTTAATCTCTGCTGCACTTGTCCAGTTGCCCATTGGTAACAAAGTAAAGCAATTCTGCCACCTGGTGGCTTACAAAGGTAACATGTTTAAAAAAAATAAAGGAAGATGGAAAAAATTGAGGTAAATTTAGCTTAAAATTAGATCAGGATTCATAAAAGTTTTTTTGTTTGTTTTAAGTTGGATGTTATTGACTTTTTAAAGAACGGCCCTCTTTCAATGTTATAATTTAAACCCATTATTGGAAATCAATGCACCCAACCCTCTACTTACAGCTTCTTTATTTCGTGCAAGTTTAAGAAATACAGGTCAGAGAATTAGATTAAGTAACGTCTGTTTATTTTATTAAATAAAGTAATATTTACACAAAATGTACAATTCATATCATGTATTTTGCTTTTTATTTTTTTTTATTTTTTTACTTGGACAATTAACATTAAGTTAATGTGGAAAAATCAGGATATGTTTATAATATGTGTGTTATTTTCTTTTTATTGCTAAATCGTTTCTCTATTTTAAAGTAAAAGGTTATTTTATTACAAATATTAAATCATCTTGTTTTTGTGATCAATCTAAACATTTTTATAAAGATGTGCATTGTTGTTTAATTAAAAGTAGACCATATTATTCATCTTTGACTGAAAAAACCTCAGGAGGACCTTTCTTGAAGACAGCTTCCAGTTTCTGACATATTTCATTTCTCGCTTTTAGGAGCAAAATCTTTAAGGTTTGTGTTTTTTAGAGATTTTTAAAGGTTTCTTACATATTTACCTTTTTTTAAGTCATCCTACTATATCTCATTATGATCAGGATCTGCTGGATTTAGTATACTTGGTATTGTTGTGATGTTAGATGGAGCCGTTCTGCTTCAGCTTCTCTGTAATCACTGTTTTATTTCCACAGACTATCCATCCTTTGTTTATACTCGATTATACTTTGAGTTGCAGGAGGCCGGTACCTTCTTGCTGCAAGACAATAGTTCCAGTAACTGCCCCACCATGCAGCCTGCATATTAACCTCCAAACTGTTAAACCAGTAGCTCTATGCTTCAGAATTAGCTTTACATTTAAATTCAATTTCAATTTGCAAAGATCTGTTAAGTTTAAATACTCTAGTCTAAACAGACTTATCTGTTCACAGATTTTTTCCCCCCAGAAGTAGAAAAACCTTTATTTTAGAGACACCGTTTAGCATTTTGTGGTCTGTTTCTTTAACAGTTGTTTAAAAACTCCTCCACTTATACACCGTCTTTTGTAGAAAGGCTGATTTGCATTATTTTCTTTTTAAATCCCTCATAAGACTGATAAACTGCATTGATAGTCTTTTTTAAATCCTTTTTATGATCTCACTTTATGAATAAGTACGCTAACCATAAAAATGATTTTATCTATTTTAATACTCATCTGAATTTAAACTTTGTTCTGCATGTTTTCAAAGCATGCCTTTAATATAATTTCTGAATATGTAAAAAAAAACATACAATATTGTTAAGTATAGTAGAGGATCTGTGATGCTGTGGAGCTGTTTCTTTATTCAAGTTTAGAGAGTTAATAGACTCATTTACAGATTTTTATGTATTCAAGCTAAGTTTTTCATAAAAATGCTGAAGTGACCGGTGGACAGTAAGCTGAACTGGAAGATACGTTGATAACGTAGCATATTTAAAAGCATGTCTTTTAAAGGAAAAGTGCCAAAATGTTTTGATGCAGATGCCTTCAGGCATTTAAAATAGATCCTATTACACTAATGTGACCCACAGGTCTCTTTCTGTGTGAAGGAACTCAGTTTTTACAGTCTGCTGCACAGCTTAATTTCAAGTATTAGTGCTGAAGCTGTTTGACAGCTCTGTTGGTTTCCAGGCTTTGGCTCGGTCCCGTTTCCTGGATGCCTGTGTGATTCTTTCTCGACCTCTCTCTCTCTGAGGAGGTAAATTTAGTCCTGACGCTGGCCTGTTAAAATGAGTCCACTGACGCTGTTAGAGGGGTGGCAATGTGAAGGAGGACTGAGAACACATATGAACTAAATGTCCACAGAGGGGGGGACACCTCTCAAGTAGAGTGAAGATGGCAAGCTTGTTGGCAAATAAAGACAGCTTTAAGGTGACTATCCCACAGGTATGTGACACGTTCTTTAAAATAACAATGACTACAGAGAGAGAATTTAAATTTGCATCAACTTTTTTTATTTTATTTTAACCACGTGACTTCTGCTCTGAGGGGACACTGTCCTCCTAGTTCTAATAAAGAAGGATGTCTAAAGAGAAGCTGACTTCCCTTTTCTGGTTCTTGAAAACTTTTCACCTTTAATTTTCCAGCTTCCTCAGGTCCTGCAGGCTGACGTGGAGATCAGGCACGGAAATCTCCTCAACAACTAACAGATTAACGTTTCTTTTAGTTTAAGGAATTCTGGGAATTTGGAAAAGCCATTTGAATAAATCATCTGCAAAGACAAACATTTAAAACTTAAGATCCTTGCTAACTCTGGAATAACAGAAACACATATAAAGGAGGAATTTCCCCTAAATTAGAAACGATAAGCAAGATATTCCTGAATCCTGCTGCACAATGTCTACATGCACAGCGGCTTATTTACGTTTCTTTTTACTTTGAGTGATAATTGGTCGTTTCGCAGGTACAGTAGACGCCTCATTTTCACACCTATTAAAAGCTTTCATAGAAGCAGTTTATAGATTCAATATATGATATCAAACAATTTAAAGTAAGGACATAAAAAAATGAACCGAGATTTGATGTACTCGATATTTAAATTTTGCACTTTATCAATTTAATAATTTAGAAAGTAAATGCAATATCAGTCTCTAACAAAGAAATTAAGTTAATATAACTCTGTGATGCAATCAGTCTGAGTAGGAATAATCAGAATGATATTTGTAAAGTAAATAAAACAGTATGTACATTTTTATTTCCAGCACTAAAGAGCTGTTATGGTTATTTGTTTGTTTGTTTGTTTTTTTATTGGGGGGGGGGGGTGTTCATGTTTAACCTCCTATAGAAATCTAATACTATTCTCCCAAGTTGGTAAGGGTTTTATACATTTTCAGGCACTTTACTATGTTTCTCTTTTTGTGCGACATGCCTCTCGAACTTCTTTTCATTTTGTCTTTTTACGACCACAAACTTTAATGCAGTTATGATCCATTGCTTTTTATGACGTTAAGTTCTGATTTGTTTCTTGCTAAGATCAGTCAGACTGGAAGCCAAATGGATTTAGTTTCAGGTTTTGACCGAGCCATTCTAACACGTGTTCATCTACACTAAGGTTGTGTTTTACCTGTGGGCAACACAGGACTTGTACACTAGAAAAACGATCTAGAAATAAGTAAAAAGTTCTTAAATGAAGTGTATTTACCCTTAATTTGAGTAGGAAAATTAGATGATTTGCCAATGGAATTAGTATTTTTACCCTTAAAATTAGATATTTAGATAAAATGCTCTTGAAGTAAGACAATGCAATTGTGTTTTCTTATTATAAGTGCAAATTGTCTTGTTCAATTGGCAAAATGTTTCTTTTTCCTCCACAATTCAAGAACAAATTCACCTATTTTAAGAAAAAATGACTTATCTAGATTTCGATTTTTTTAAGTGTATCTATACCCTCCTGATAATACATACTGAAGAAATAAAATCAATTAAATGTAACCAGATTTCCTTTTTATTTGCAGCATTTTCCCGCATAATGTTTATTTTGTGTCCATTTTCTGTTTTGATTTGCAGTTAGTGTTTGTGTGTTTTGTAGCTTGCATCATCCATGTTTGCAGTGAGCTTTGGAGCAGCAGGTTTGCATATTTTCCTAATACAGACTCACAGCTTGTAAGTTTGGGAGCCACTGATAAAGGACAGAAATGCCACATTAGAATAGCTTTACTTCAGGATGGCAGCAATAGTCACTGTAATTGGTCATAAGAGAGGATAAATATCACTGTATATGTAATAATATCTTTTAAAATGATTACTGGAGGTCTGATTTTTTTTTTCACCTGGCACTATAGCAGGTGTGTGAACTCTTTAGAGTCACTTTTATCGTTTTATATTCTGCTGCTGTGTGTGGCTTCATTTATTTTGCTTTGGAAGATTAAAGTGTGAACAAGAAGCCAAAATCTGTTACCATAGAGGAATGTTTTTGAACCTTTCACCACTTGCAGCCCACCCTCCCTGACCTCATCAATACGCAGGCTAAAGCTCTACTCCCACACATCCACACTCGGACTGGGTCATCGGTTGGACTGTTGACGTCATTCCCAGCTGTTGCTCTGTCCAAAAGTCCCTGTCTACACTTCTGGGTATAGTCCTCATAATTTCATATGTATTCATTTTTTTTTTCTGGGAAGAACCACAGATTGAAGGGGTAGGGTTTACATTCTTCTCGTGCATCTCACTTCTCATTCTTTGTTATTTTCTCTCTCTCCTGCTTCCCAAAGTCTTTCTTCCAAATGTGGAATGCCTTGGCTTTAATGAGGCCATACCTCTGCTTACAAATGATGACAAAGAACCAGACGTATTACGGTAATACCATCAGACTGGAGCCAAAACTGCTTTCTTGTTTTTACAGGAAAAGCTTCTCGATAGCTGCTACTCTGGGATAAATAAAATCAAAGCGAGCTTCAACGATTTTTATTCAGGATACACATTAGAAGTTGAAATGGATAAACTCCAGAGGAAACAGAGGGTAAGACAAGCAGCTGTAGATGGATGCTAAACTATCAGCAGGGTCCTAAACAGGGTAAAGAATGTAGGATGTTCTTGCAACATTCATGCAAGAATGTGGGTTTAAAGCCGTTTGATCTCTGTTATTTATTAGAGCAGTTTAAGTTTTAAAATGTCCAGCAGGGGGGAAATTCTCATTCCACAGTCCTTCTCTTATCTCTGTGTGCTGTTTATTTTTTTGCCTGGATTTACTCAGTTTTCAGGTGCAAAGTTACATCACTTTCATCTGGAAATGATTTTCAAAGTGATGTTTCGTCTGCGAACATGTTCTGTCATGTTCCTGTGTAGTCTGGCCTGATGCCAGTTTAGATCCTTGAATGGTTTTGGTGCAACAAAAGTAAAAAAAAAAAAAATGAGAAGAGGGAGGTTCTGAAGGAGACAAAAGGAGAGCATTTCTCTGTAACCACAGGGTTCATATGGCGCGTTTATGCCTCCCTTCATGTCTCAGTCCTCCAGGCCTTGATGATGAGCGTAGTGGCTCTGCTGTGTCTTTACAGAGCCAAGAACTTCGCTCGTCTGGGATGTCTGTGGGGGATGTGACGGTGCTCCCATCCGGCTCCCTGAGCCAGGGGCAGCGTTCGCTGACCAGGCTCTACTGTCAGAATGGAGGGCATCACCTGAGGATTTTATCCGATGGGACGGTGAATGGTGGGAGGCAGGAAAATGACACTTATGGTAAGAAAGAAACACATACAGATTTTTTTATATATATATATATATAAAAGAGCATCATTTCAGAATTTAAAACTACATAGCTTAATTTGAATGTTTGATTTCTGCTTGTAATTTACAAAACTTTTGAATGACAAACTTAAAATTTGGAAAAATCTAAACTTTTATTAAGTAAACGAATAACTCAATAAAGCTCTAAAAGTTTTAAAACTTCTGGTTATAACATCCCAGCCTACTATGTGGAGCTTATGCTGCACTTAGAAAAAACATTACCAGGCATTTTGAGAAAGTACCTTTTCACTTCCAGTAAAGTTACATGTGAGCTCTGGGAAAGAAACATATAGGTTAAGTAAACAGGCCTCTATACTATGTAAATAATCTGAATCCTCTGACAGGAATATATATAAGTCCCTGTAAAAAAAAAAAAAAAAAACTCTAACTTATGTGGCAAATCTGGAAAACCACCTGTAAGTTTCATTTACATTTTTGAATGTAACCTAATTCCAATAAAATCCTCTCTTAAGCTGAGATAAAAAAAAAAAAAAAGAAAAAAAACTCAGAAAGCAATCTACGTTCCGGAAAGTTTCCAGTGAAAGTACTGTGTAGGTTCAAAGTAGTCACAGAAATATCTCACTCAAATTTGAAGATTCATGAAAAATTATTACGATATTAATAACAAATTGGCGCTATAACTGCAATAAGTTGTGCATTAACTAATGTGCAATAACCCAGTTAATACCCAGTGCAATATATATATATACATACAGCACATTTTCTTCCTTCCTCTTGATTATTGAGCCTATGTGAGTGGTTAATTTCTCCATTGTGAGATCAGTAAAGTCAGTCAACTAATCAAACTCCCATTTAACTTTTTTAACAAGAACCTTTTAAATAAACCTGATCCATATTTATTTCTAAAATAAAATTATTATGTAATTCAAACAAATAAACATTATGTATATAGATAAATACAATAATTTGTACCGGTATCAATTTTGAGCTAGTTTATTATTTCTAAATGCACAAACCTGATGGATTTGCATCATGTTAGGTTTATTGGATACATTTGTGTTGAAATTATCAAGAATAAGTATTTGGGAATTTGTCATGTAATAAAATTACATACATCTTAAAATTTGGGTGAAATATATTTGTAAGTGAAGTGTATGTATGTTTTTTTTTTTTTTTTTTAAGCAAAAGCCAGTGAAGATAAGCTATATGTTTCAACAAAGTAGCTCAAAAGTTGTGGGAAAGTTAACTGTAATTTCCAGAATGATAACCAGTAAGTAATGTGGAGTAAGCTCTGTTAAACTGACCTTTAAGTTAGATAAAAACTACTTGTAAACTACCCTGAAATGTTCTGTGAAATCAACCTGTAGGCTTCTGGGAAGTAGCCTTTCTTCCAAGGCAGTCAAGGTACAATTTCTAAGGAAGTTTAGGAAAACAACTGAAAGCTTATCTGCATAATCTGGGAAACTAAACTTTAAAACGTGTTATTACTGGAAATTATTTCTTGAGCAACTTCCTGTGCAAGCTTTATAAATCACCTATTCCAGTAAGGCTGCTTAGTAATGGGAGATTTTGCATCACATTTTACATTCTGAACTGCTGCTTATCCATGAAATCAGCTGAGTAAAAGATTGTTTTTGGACAAAAAACTGTTATATTTTGTAGGTGGCCTCTTTATTTTGGGCTTGAAACGGTAACAGAAAAATCACGTCAAAGTGTAATGTTGCATGTGTTGCAGAAATCCTGAGACTGAAGGCGGTGAGAGTGGGAGTGGTGGTGATCAAAGGGGAGATGACAGGAAGGTATCTGGCCATGAACAAAAACGGAAACCTTTATGGATCAGTGAGTTCCTTATTCTCTACTGTTAACTTATAAAAACATTATTAAACAAAAAAAGGTGTTTATATTTCTAAAACTAAATCCGACAATGACTTTAAATCACATTGAGATAAAGCTGTCTTAGTGTTTTCATTGGTGTCAACTTTTAGAGGAATTTACAATGGATTCAATGAATCAAACAGCTTCTAAATGTCCATTCCTTTTTTTTTCTCAGCAAGCACTAAATGATGAGTGCTACTTTTTGGAAAAATATGAAGAGAACAACTACAACACATACTGCTCCCAGAAATACAGCTGGTATGTTGCTTTAAAGAGGAACGGCCAGCCTAAAAGAGGACCGGACACCCACCAGGGTCAGAAGGCCATTTGCTTCCTGCCCAGACCCACAGGCAGCGGGTAAACAGAGAAGAACCACGGAAAAGCACCCAGCTAATCTGAGAATAGAACACCTGGTAGACTAAGCTGCGCTGGACTGAGTATCGTAAACACGACTTTGACAGAGCTTTTGCTATTAAGACCTGATAAAGTTGTTTGAACTGTCCGCTCAGCCTAACGACCCAAATATTTATTCCTCCACTGCAACAGACGGAAAAAAATCTTTTCTATATAAACATAAGAGCTGATATCAGAAACATTCTCCGGTTTATGAGCACAAAGACTCCCTTTTTGACTTTGGCCAACAGTGTTATCAGGCTGCAGTGCATGTCTCCACAGCAAAACAAGAATCCACTGTGAGCTCCCTGGCTTGAAATTACAATCCTAGAGGAGAGAAATGTGCAGCTTGCTCTAAAATAAATTATTTAAAAAAATTATTTAAATACTTCTTGGAGTCCTTATACATTCTGTCTAAGCATTCGCTGCGAGCTTTTGGAATAGAAAACAGACCCATAGTTAACAGAAAGCCTCTGTTTAATGCATACGCATCATTTGACGCCAAGGTCAGAAATCCAACCTCTGAGGGCTGCATTTAGGATAATAACTTTTATAAAAGAGGTGCGGGCAAAGCTGCTGTTCCAAATGTGGCCTGATAATGTAAAAAAAGTTTTACTGTGAAAAAAAAGAAAAAGACTAACCTAATTTGCAAGGTGGCAAATGAACAATATGTACTGTTTGATACATAGCAACAGGACAGCCTGCATGTTGGAAATTAAATGATATCTGATATCTGATGCATCTGATATTTAGGTAGGAAAATACACTGCCATAAACTTAAAGTAATTTTTTCTTAAAATAAGTCAATTTGTTCTTGAATTGAGGAGGTAAGTTTGACACTTTGCCAATGGAAGCAAACATTTTACATTTAAAAGAAGATAAAACTATTGCATTGTTTAATTTCAAGTTCATATTATCTATCCATCCATCCATCCATCTTCTTACACGCTTGTCCCGAGTGGGTTCGTGAGGGGTGCTGGTGCCTATCTCCAGCAGTCAATGGACGAGAGGCGGGGTCCACCCTGGACAGGTCCAGTCCATCTCATATTATCTAATTATCTTATTCTAAGAATAAAAATACTCATTTATTTTTGCAGATCATCTTATCTACCTGCACAAATTGTAGTGTAAGTGTAAATAAACTTATTTTAGAAATATTTGCTTATTTCTAGATGGTTTTTGCAGTGCCTGAATGTTCCTGAACTAAAGGAAAGCTGCTTCAACCTAGTTTAAAGAAGATCGTTTTTAAGCTGCAGTGAAGTTTCTTGGTAAACCTGTTTGTGTTTCCACAACATATTGTTTTTGCTTGATGTACAATATTTATGCATGGTTTCATCCATATTGAAACGTGACTTTAATCAATCCTGAAAAAAGATATAATGTGATGTAAACAAAAGGTACTCTGGATATAGTTTTGAAGTGATAAAGTTAGACCTGTATAAACTGACTCTTAGTTACCTTTACTAAAAACTGTGAACTTGGGTTTTTATAATGACAAAGTGAACAGTGATCATGTAGCTTTTAAAGTCTCTGTTCTATTTTGTGACGTTTTTTTAAACATTAAACACAATAAAAGGAATCGGCCATCTTGTATCTTGTGTTTTTTTTTTTTTTTTTAATGTGTTTAAATAGCATACAGCAATATTTTAAAACCTCTTCTTATCAGATGTGTTGAGTTACCATAGCTGTCTACATTTCCAGAACTCAAATTGAGGGTGAAAAAAAGACCAGTCTGCAGCTGTAATTTTCATTCATTTTGAATTTATATGCTGATAAATCATGTAATGTCAAAGTTCAGTGATGGTTTGTTGAGGACCCGAATGCAGAGATGGAAGGAAGCAGAGATGAGTTTTTGCTGATTTAATGTAGAACCAAAGGCAACAGAAGGTATAGTAAAAAAATATATATATTACAGCAAAACCCCCCCAAAAACAGGACACATCAGGGAAAACTCACATGGGGAACAAGTAAGCAACAAGACACCAGCAACGAGGAACTGCAGAGGTGGTATATATATGGGGAACAGAATAAAGGATGGGTTCATCAGCTGATAGGGCGCAGGTGTGGATAGATTTATCTTATCTAGAAGGAAGCTAGGGGGAAGGAAACTAGGACAAGAGGGCAATAGAGGGTAACTTAAAAAAAGCAACAGGGCTTAAATATAACACATAATGGAAATGAAACATATATATATATATATATATATATATATATATATATATATATATATATATATATATATATATATATATATGTGTGTGTGTGAGAACTATAACAAAGTTACTACCTAAGTAACCTAGACAAGAGAGGCTATATGCAGAGAGTGGAAGAAATGGAAATTCTCACCGTCTACAATTATACAATTACAGCTAAACAACTAGTAAGTCAATGTTCTAACATCCGTAAACGACAAGCTGGAGAAAACCTGGAAGGTCAAGGCATCAGTGGTACCTGTGGTCATTGGGGCCCTTGGGGCAGTGACCCCCAAACTGGAGGAGTGATTACAACAGATCCCTGGAAATACATCAGACAGCTTGGTCCAGAAGAGTGCAGTTCTAGGAACAGCAAAGATACCATCAAGCTCCCAGGCCTCTGGTAGAGGACCCGATCATGGAGGAAATAAGGGGGGAAGACCACCTGCGATGGGTGAAGACGAGTTTAAAATTGCATATATATCTTTTTATTATTATTATTATTATAAGCATTTCTTTAGATTGAACTTATAATTTTAAAATCAAACATAAAAAAAAATAGTGCATCTCTAACTTGAAAATCCAAAAGTGGGTTTTCTTGCATTCTACAAAAAAATAAAAAATAAAAATAAAAAAATAAAAAGAGTTTACTAAGAACCAGTTTGTGGAAAAAGGAAAACATTTTTTAACACGATTAGCTACATACTCACAAACATCACCACGGGGGTCTCACCTCTGTTAGCGTTGAGTCGTTCCTTCCTTTAATCTATTTCATCCTCAAATTTGAGCTAATTTTTGAGTTTTTCTTATGATTAATGCAACAGTCAAATCAACTGTAATGTATTGTTGTAATGTTTTGTATGGAGAAGCCTCTGACTGAAAAGGTTTTTCAGGGTCCTCTTCATTTTATTTTGTATTTTCAGAGATTATAGTGTTTCTCTAATTGTTGGGAAGTCTATGCTGATGAACAGCTGTAGTCCATCAGAGGTCCTGCAAGTAGATAAATGGTTTGATACACTGTGGGGTGGGGGTTTGGGTTTTTCCTATTGATTAAATTTAGAAATAAATAAAGATTGACAGTATTAAAATAGTATATATATTTTTTTTATCTCTCTAGGAATTTTATCACACCATAGTATTTTTTTCTCAAGCTACTATAATTAATTCAGAATTACTATTGGTAATTCAGGTTTTTAATTTGACAGCAGTTGAACAAAATTAGGTTTGTCCACAAGAGGGCAGCATTGATGTTTATAAAGTAGTTTCCATCTCTTAGGGGGAGACATAACTTTCCATACTGAGTTTATTTGCCTAAACATCTGAATTACATTAAAAACCATCAGTAGAATTGTATAGCAAAACTGAAAAATGTGAATTAAATCTGCTTAATAATAACTTTTTTCACAAAAAGGATAAAGCTTCTGCCCTGATTTGGGTTGATTCCCACTGAAAAGGCCTGCTGAGATGTTTCCTATGCAAACCTGACAGCAGAGTGAAAAGAATGACCTCTGTTCACCCCCATCAAATATTTTCACCACAACTTTTTGGGAAGCTGAAGCGTTCTTCATCTAATCCCTTCTTAATGTGTAACGACTGAAACAGAACATGAGCCGAGGAGGCTTCCTCAGGCCACCCTGCCAGGAAAAATTTCCGAGAGGAAATGCATTCTGGAACATGGTTTAAAATGTTTGGGATGACTGAAGCTGATCTTCCGACAAGTTTCAAATTATTGTGGGAATCAAACTGAGATCTCAGAAACATACCAGTTGCACCACGTGTCTATTTGCAGCAAAAGCAGAACATCATAGCTTTACATTTATTCTTAAAATTCCAACTAATTACACCAATAAAAATGATGCAATTTTTAAGTTTTTATCAATTTAACGATGCTTAAATGTTGTGACTATTCAACCTTCAATTTAAAGCAGCTTCACTGTGCTAACTGAGAAAAGGGTTTGTTTGACAGAGCTCATTTGGCTTACAAATACAAAGCTGAACAGGAAAGCTCAAGAAGCTTAGTCAAGAATTGACAAAAGGGAGATTTACCAGTCGCCTTTAAGAGCTATTTTTAACCCGGAAGGAAGTGACATCGTCAAATAACACAAAGACAAAGTTGTCTGACCACAATGACTGATGTGTTCAGATGAGTAACAGTGAGGAAGTCAACACTGAGAACTTTTTAGCAACTGTACTGTTTGAGATATTGTTTTACTGTCAAAGGGAAAGCTGAAAGTAAGATAAATCAGGCTATTAATGACAGGTTAAACATGTTTTTCATGTTGCAGTCTCTGTTCCATTGAACAACAAAGTGATCACTCTAAATGTGGGTTAATTAAGAGAAATTTTGTATATTTAACCTATATCTAATCTTTCCTGTAGTAGGTGGGTTTATTTATTTATTTATAAGGTGGGTTTATCTATAAAGATTTCAAATAAGGAGATCGAAATTTACTTAAACAAAATATTGGCAACTGCAATTGGTGTGCTCTGAGTGACCTAGGATTACATACTTAATAGATTAATAAATAATGATAAATAATAAGGAGGGATTTGTTTGTGCTACAATCTGTCACCATGGAGAGTGTGGAAGATCAAAGGTATTATATCTAATACTTAATAATAATAAACTTTTATAATTATAAGAATAGTTTGTTTATTTCATTAGCATTGTTATTATTATTATTATTATTATTATTATTATTATTATTATTATTATTATTATTATTATTATTATTATTCATGATGCATCTAGATATAGTTATCTGAAGGTACCACAGGACAACAGTTAAAACCACAAAAGGTGAAAATAATCAACGTTATAACTAAATATAATATTTACATCCTTCTATCTCCATTTTCTGTCATTGTACTTCTGCTTTTTCTTGCCCTAAATGAGTGGTGACCTTTTATTTTTGTGAGTTTGACTTTCAAATGTGCAAAAAAAAAAAAAAAAAGACACAGAAACTGAACCCCTATTTTGCTTCAGGTTTGATGAATCCCACCAGCAAAGACCACTATAAGAACATACACACAAAGCCACTCATCTTCAAACAGGAATCTGATTTATATATTTAGGAGGCTAAAACAAGTAGGTGACCTGTCTGAGCTTTAATTCACAGGACCCCACCCGCTTTCCAGCTGGTCATACAAACGCATCCAAAGCGCACACAGACGGAAACCTGGTTGACCAATTGGCCTGTTGAGCTGTGCAGGACAGGAAGGGGGTCATTCACTGTAAACTGAACAAGGACAACTTCCTCTGGGACTCCCCAAGCATGACAGCGGCCAAGATCTATGCAACACTAACCCCTCTAACACACAAACACACACACACACACACGCACGCACATGTTTCCCTGATGTATGGGGACTTTTCATTGACTTCTATTTATTCGTATGGCTTACCCAGACCCTTAGTTTACCTTAACCATTACCAGCATATACATAACCCGAACCTAAACCTAATTTATGCCTTAGATCTGAACCTAATCTCAAACCCACAGGGAGAATGTGGTCTTATGGG